CACTCCAGCCTGGGGGACGGAGTGAGACTCCGTCTCAAAATAAAAGAAGCAGAGAAGTAACAGAGTGTTTACAATGCCCTAAATTCTAAATTATCCTACACCTTGGAGGCATAGTTCCTACAGAGGAACTACATAGACACCATCCTTCATAGAGGCTCAGGGTCAGGGAAGCCCCTGGTCAAGGAAATGGCCTGGTAGAAAGGGCTGCTCAGTGGCTGGGCTCATCCTTCTCTTTCCTTGTGGTGGCTCTGAGCTGTTCAGCCAGCTCCCTACTAAAGCTGGCTCCAGGGAGGACCGTTCTGTGCTCATGAAATTAGACTGAAGTGGTCCCTAGGGAATCCAGAAATAAATAAAGTGTGTATGTGGGGAAGATGAACAGCTTTCTAACATGTATTATTCTGAACCAACTTTTAATTTGGCATGAAATTAATCTCAGGCTAGAGTCTCTCAAAATATTAAAATAAGTAAACACTGCTGGGCAAGAATAAATAGCAAGAATAACTACATAGTAAGAATAACTTTTAGTTTATTGTAAAATATCCAAGTAGTCTATTTTAATCTATCAAAGTAAACCACTTGTAATATAAGTTGATGTGTAAATGAACATATTTTGTAGTGTCTTTTAAAGCTTATATCTATAACAGACCATCAGGCTAGTGCCTGTCCCTGAGCTGAGTATAGGGTCAGTTACTGTTTACAGGCAGCAACGGGAGGCAGAAATTGATTTGGCTTCTAACTCAGTGTGTTTGTTATATGTTAAAATATGTACACAATTTACAATTATTTAATGCTTTTTTATTTTTTTCATCACAGGTTGTTGAAGATTGGAAATTCATAGCCCAGGTTCTTGATCGGATGTTTCTGTGGACTTTTCTTTTCGTTTCAATTGTTGGATCTCTTGGGCTTTTTGTTCCTGTTATTTATAAATGGGCAAATATATTGATACCAGTTCATATTGGGAATGCAAATAAGTGAAGCCTCCCAACGGACCGAAGTATACCTTTAGTTAACACACATATATCTTATGGCACTTAAAAAATTATGAAAATGTAAGTTATGTGTTAAATTTGGTGCAAGCTTTAACAGACTAACAGTTGCTAACCTCAACTTATGTTAACAGATGATCCATTTGAACAGTTGGCTGTATGACTGAAGTAGTAACTGATGAGATAACATTTGATCCTCTAAAAATAGCAGCAAAATATTATCTGAACTGTACTAGTGAAAAATCTAGTGTTTGTATCCTGGCAAATAATACTAATTTATAATCCACAGTAAAGTTCATCCTTTGTGCTAGAGAATTCCAGTTGTATTTGAAGACTGATTTTAAAACTTTTCTGCATCTGGTAAAGGTATATAAACTTTCCTGTACTCACTGAGTAACAGCTAATCTTTAATATATTATACTGCTATATTTAAAAAGCTGACTACTTGATATAATTACTTAATGTGATGCTTGATATAATAATTACTTAATGTGGCCGGGCACGGTGGCTCACACCTGTAATCCCAGCAGTTTGGGAGGCCAAGGCAGGCGGATCACCTGAGGTCGGGAGTTCAAGACCAGCCTGACCAACATGGAGAAACCCCGTCTCTATTAAAAATACAAAATTAGCCGGGGTGGTGGTGCACACCTGTAATCCCAGCTATTTGGGAGGCTGAGGCAGGGGAATCGCTTGAACCCAGGTGGTGGTTGCGGTGAGCTGAGATCACGCCATTGCACTCCAGCCTGGGCAACAAGAGCGAAACTCTGTCTCAAATAATAATAACAACAACAACAACAACAACTTAATGTGATGCTGCTTTTTCATAACCAACGTTTTTAAAATAAATGAAAAACAGGAATTGGGAACTCCTTTAAGGCTTACTTTATTCTTTAGATGCTTAAACTTAATAATTATTGTGTTAACTATGTCTGTAGCTTACCTTCCACTGTAAAGTCATAGAGTAGACAACTCCTGTGGACACGCAGTAGCATATCCTTAACATTAATTTCAATCCTGTTGTCCACATTTCCCACAATTAATAGAACCATCGTCTATGTAAATTGTGGTAGTATCTCTTTATCCTTGATCTTAGAATAGTCAGTCCACTACAATCACATGAACCCCATTTAAAAAACATATTTAGGGCCGGGGGCAGTGGCTCACATCTGTAATCCAAGCACTTTGGGAGGCCGAGGCGGGTGGATCACTTGAGGTTAGGAGTTTGAGACTAGCCTGGCCAACATGGTGAAGCCCCGTCTCTACTAAAAATATAAAAGATTAGTTGGGCATGGTAGTAGATGCCTGTAGTCCCAGCTACTCAAGAGGCTGAGGCAGGAGAATCGCTTGAACCTGGGAGGTGGAGGTTGCAGTGAGCCGAGACTGCACCATTGCACTCCAGCCTGGGCAACAAGAGCGAAACTCTGTCTCAAAAAATAAATAATAAAAAACACATTTAGGTCTAACTCATTCTGTGAGAAAAGTCTTCTAATATTAAAAATAGTATTCTAATTTGGTATAAGCACACTGTTATACACTTGTAATATTTCAACTTTCTCTCTTCATTGTAATTACAATAATAGAATCTTAGAGTTGCAAGGGCCTTTAGATGTAATCAATCAATCTTAGTCTATTAGTACAGCATAAATGATTTAGTACAGTATAATGTATCAAGGATAAAAGTTACATTTCATCTCTAAAGGTCACCACTTCAGGTGTGACCAGGTAGCAAACACTGACAAAAACCCTGCATTCAATTTAGGACTCTTAGCTGTTGAGATCACAAACACCTCATTTATTTATAATAAGTAACCTATCTAAGTTCAAGCTAATGCTCTTTGGAAGACAGAGCAGACCCTGTCTAATTTGCATTTAATTGTAGGCAGGTGTTTAATGCCATTTAATGAGTGAAAGCCTGGTGTGATGAATTTAAACTGCCTGTTAGCTACCTTAGCTTGTATACATCCCTGATCTCTTATACTGCCATTACTGTTACTTACGATTTTTATATATAAATAAATTTTGTTGACATCTTTCTTTTGACTTATTGAAACATGAGTCACAGCAGGCTGCAATTCTGTCCGTTTTATTTTTGCATAGGAAAAACAGCTAGTGAGACAAGATTCAAACAGTCTCTGAATCATCCGTCAGTGATGATGATCATGTTAAGATTCAGAAATGTAGTACATGATACTCTTTCTTAACAATTTGTCTAAAGCAATGTTTCTCAACCAGGAGCAGTTTTGCTCCTAAGGGGACATTTAACAATGGAGACATTCTTGGTTATTGTAACTGGTGAAGAAGCAGGGTATGTCATTGGTATCTAGTAAGTTGAGCCCAGGGTACTGCTAAAGATCCTACAATGCATAGGATACCCCCACTCTGTCCCAACACATACTTATCCAGCCCAAAATGTCCACAGTGCTAAGGCTGAGAAACCCTGTTCTAAAGGTTCATGCTATGGTCGGAATGTGTCCTCCCCAAATTCATATGTTGAAACCTAATCCCAGTGTGATTGTCTTAGAAGGAGGGGGCCTTGGAGAGGTGATTAGGCCATGGGGGCTCTGCTCTCATGAATGGGGTTAGTGCCCTTATAAAGTAGACCCCACAGAGGTAGCTAGTCCCTTCAGTCATGTGAGGAAACAGCTAGAAGGCACCGTTTGAGGAAGAGGACCCTCACCAGACACCAGATTTGCTGGTGCCTTGACCTTAGACCTCCTTCAAAACTGAGAAATAAATTTCTGTTGTTTATAATCCACCCAGTTTATGGTGTACTAAGACAGTTTATTAACAATGAATAACTAGGCATGATTTCTCATGGTATAATTTAGAATTATGCAAGAGAATTAGTTGAAGCTCTCTGAAATGGAGGCACAGCCCTTTAGACCCAGTAAAGAATGAGAAATGCATGGTGAGAAATGGGTAACAGTAGGAGATTGCTGAATTAGTATAAACCTGCAAAGAGATTATGGGCTAAATAAGAAAAACCACTGGGAGATCTGCAGTGATACTGAACTGAATGACTTTTCATATTTCTCAACAGCATTTTTCTATCCAGTTTTGTCTTAAAAGAAAACATTTTTACACGTATATTCCATAGCACAGCACACTACTTATCACATAGAAGAATCACATTTTGACATCTCTTTACCATGCCAAAAAGGCTAGTTAAATGTTCATTTATCCATAATAAATATTCTACTTTTTTTCGCATGATTCTTTTTTTGACAAAAACCAAGATAACTGGAAAATAAGTAAACCTCGAAATGCCAAACACAAAGCTGGTAGCTTGATAACAGAAAGTACGTTCCTACTAAGCAGCAGCCTCCTCCTGCCCTGACACAAGGAAGTCTCCCAGGCAGGCACACAGCTTGGTGCTTATGCATCTTCCCTGGCCATCAGGGGTTGCAGAAACAATCCTGCCGTCCCTAGAATGCACACCAGGGTGAAAACCCACAGAAAAATACGATCAATCACCATGGCAACATACTTCCAATCATCTTGAATCTGCAAAACAAAATGATAAAAGAGGAAAAAAACATGGAGGGAAAGGCAAAATTAATACATTTTCAATACTGAAGATTTAATAAATACATTACAGTAGAAGCCATTTTGTCTCTAATATGCAAGAAGCCCTTTTTTTCCCCTAATTGACGTAGTCTGAGGAAATCTACCATTCTCAAGTTTCTCTTGATGCAGGAGAGAAACAGGTGTAAAAGATTTGTCATGTTAGATCTGTTTCAAATCAGAAGTTTCCTAATATATGCATAACCTAGTTTTTCTAAATTGAATTCCAATTTTATAAAGTTAGTGAAACCAGTTTGGACTTCCACGGAAGGATTCTGGGACTTGGTTAGAATGCCTAATATAGTCCAACATAATCTACAAGTGCTTCAAAGTACTCCTTATCCAGTTTTAGATATAAATTTCTGGCTGGGTGCAGTGGCTCACACCTGTAATCCCAGCACTTTGGGAGGCTGAGACCACTTGAGATCAGGAGTTTGAGACCAGCCTGGCCAACATGGTGAAACCCTGTCTCTACAAAAAAATAAAAAAAATGGCCAGGAGTGGTGGTGCATGCCTGTAATCCCAGCTACTTGGGAGGCAGAGGCATGAGAATTTCTTGAACCCAGGAGGCGGAGGTTGTAGTGAGCCAAGATTGCACCACTGCACTCCAGCCTGGGTAACACAGCGAGACCCTGTCTCAAAAACAAAATAAATTTTTTAACATCTGTTCCAAAAATGAGAACACACATCAGGGCAAGTCCATCCTCATCACCCTTTCCCTCCCCACTGCCCTCTCCACGATGCCCAGCTGATCAAAAGTCATTTTTAGTGTAAGGCCAAAGTATCATGGAA